TATAACAAGAAGAATATTGAAATGTCATCAAATGAAAAAACTAAAAAAATGATTTCTGAGTTAGTTTATGATGATAATTATGAATTTAAATATTATATTTTATTTAAATTATTAGAGTAAGAAATAAGTTACAATTAGAAAAAAGCATTTGTCACAAAATTAAATATTTAAAATTTAAGGTTCTTTTCTAATTTATGAGGTTTTAGGCACTCATTTAATTCATTCATAAAAGACTTTCTTTTTCAAATTAAAAGAAAATTTTATACAGTAACATTATGTAAAACATACTTAATTAATAAATTAATTACCCTCCTTTAAATGTTTGAAAAAAAAAGAAAGAATTAATAATTATTTGAAAAAATTAAATGTTTAGTCTTCCTAACTTTGCAGCTCATTCTGCCTTGTATAAAATAGCTAAAATCATGGATAGAATATTTTAATTGTGTGATAAGTTAAAAATAGAAAACACAGTAGAAATCCCTAAGTCAAATTAAGTAAGAAACTTTTATTAATTTTAGAAATTAAATAAAACATTAAAGAACCTTTATCACATGAACCTTGATGATGAAATGTTAATTTTGGCTTTTTATTTTGTTGACTAGATCACTAAAAAGCTAAGAATTTTTCTGAACTTAGAAAATAGTACTGGATTATTAATTGGGGCAATTATAATTGCTGATAAGATTCTTAATGACTAACCTAGAAATATTGAGAAATACAAATTAGCAAGTGGCCTCAAAAAAGAAGAACTTATTTAATTAGAAATATTTTTCTTAGAAATTTTGGATTATAATTTATATGTGACTGAAGAAAACTTTGAAACATACAAAAAAAGAGTTCAAAATTATTGATTAAAATTATTTACTCTTTTTGGCTACTATTCAAATTTTGTTTGTGATTTAAATTTTATATTGTATTTTAGAAATATATTATTATTATTATTTTTATGGGTTTCTTGTAAGAAAAAAATAATCAGTTAATCAAGAATAAGAGATTAAATCAAAATATTTCAATAATATTGAACTTAATTCTTTTAATATCATAAATGAAACTCAATTCTTTGTGATGCATATACATAATTCAATCTAATTCAAATTATTAAAAAATTGGAAAAAAATGTTTGGCGAGATTGTTTA